AAAAAGAAGAAGAGAAAAGAGAGGAAAGAAAGGAAAAGAGAAAGGAAAGAAAAAGATAGATATATGTCCAAATATCGGACATAAAAATATCAAAAGAGAAGAAACAAGTGTTATTTTTATTTGTTTTATGATATTCCTTTTATTTTTAAGTGCTCAATTCTCGACTCTGTTCCCGTTCGCCGGAGCTCGTAAATCTGGTGTGCTACAGATTTAGAGACGTTTGCCGTTGGATCTTTGGGGAAGTTACGCCTGAACCGTTAGCTGACACACGGGGCGTATTCTTCTTGCGGAAAGAGTTTTACTCGCCTCGGCTAAAATCTTTCCGTTTTAAGTTGTAATTTATTTTTCAGTTCTATTGTAATTTTCTATTTTTAGATTATTTGTAAAAACTGAAAATACATATCAGTTCGTAGGAATCCTGTGTAATTTCACACCAAAATATCCAACATTCCATGCAGCCGACGACCCTCTCTGAAGCTGGGGAGATAAGCGGGATGGCAAGACCCACCGCCGGCCAAGTCTCCCACAGAGCTCCAAAAGATGCGGAAGAGATGACCCCAGCTGCGACTCAGCCGAGGCCGGTCCAGTGGGCGCAGTGGTCACGCTGCTGGAGGGGGGGGGGGGGTTTCAGAGAAGGATTTTCTGCTTTATATCCCAAACAAAGAGAATAGGGACGAGAGAAGGGTCCAATAATCAACTTAATATACATAATTGTAGGTAATAGAAACAATGTAAAAATAAATGAATAATGTAAGAGCAAAATGTTACATTGAAACTTGAAATTTGAAGGAGGAACTAGAAATGGCTTGGTATGAGACACATTTTAAAGCCTCGTGATACGTGAGTGATTACATTAAGTAAAATTCACATAGAAATACAACCTCACTGTTAAGAATCATGCAATCAATTGTCCACGCAAACCCGGGAGAAGAATAGCATGAGCGGCCGACATGATGTTATAAGCTCAGGCCTCAGCGTATACCAAATTGGAACTCAGATCAATTACAGATTCGAATCATTTTCTTTTCTAGTGGCCTAAAAACATTACATTGAAAATTACAGAATCTCAGGCATCGAACCTCATCTTGGGTTTACCTGAGTGATGGTGGTGGGAAAAGAACTCGTTTGGTTGCTAGACGAGGTAACGGTTGATTTCATCTTTGACTGCTTGCCACCTGGTTGACCTGAATTCTGAAAGGAACCCGGGGCTGTGAGCTCCTTCTCGTTTAGCTTTACATTTCTAGACAGCATCTCAAAGACCTGGCTCATCAACGGCCTCCTGCTTGCATTTGCTTGAGTGCAGAACAAAGCCACTTTCATAAATCTGATAACCTCGTCTTTTAGAAACTCCCCAAGCTCTGGGTCTACAAGATCGAGCAGTTTCCCTTCTTCGTAAAGCTCCCATGCCTATAAAGCAACCAACAGTCATCAGGAAATTAGCGCGAAACTCAAACAGTCGAGGAAAATCTACTCTTGTAATTACAGTCCAATTTATTTTCTTCTCAAATAACTCTAACCACAATCTACATATATATCATTTCAGTTGGTTGCTACTATTTTTCAGCAAACTACCTCAGCCTACAGTTAAAGCTTCTTCTCTAATCTTTATCTTGTTACACAGGATTAAAGAGAAAAACCGATATTTGGATGAAAAAGATGGGAATGTTCAAAACCATAAGACTAAATGGTTACAGCTTTGTTTAACATCACGCATCATTTAAAATCTTAAAATACATGTTTCTGGAGCATGTTAAACATAAATACACATACATGATACATGAAAGCCTTCACTCGTTTAACATATTTGTGGAAAATTTTCTGTATGCTTTCAATAATATGTAAACTACATGCCCCAAAAACTAGCATCTACTGTTAACGGATCCTATTGTAGATATGAGATACAAAGAAAAAAATAGTGTAGAATGACTAAAGGAATTGGAAGATATACCCACCCATTGAACTAGTAATTTCTCGCCACCTCCATAATCTGTATATGCACTGCTTCTGCCGCTTATGATTTCAAGGGTTAGAACCCCAAAGCTGTAGACATCAGCCTTCATTGTTAACTGCCCACCTAATGCATACTCAGGAGCCAGGTAACCTCTGCATGGAACAAACCACAGGGTAAAATTCAGAAATATATTTTTCTTTGTTCAAGTTAAAAACCAATTCTAGAACTAGAAAGGTCCTAGTGCCAGGGTAAGAGTTATCTTTTCAGTGAAATTATGCGAAACTATTTCTTTTGGTGGACAACAAACAAAGAAGATGATGAGCACGTGTCTGTGAAAATGTTTATGAAAACGAAAGAAAATATGGCGTACGTTGTTCCTGCTATTTTTGTGCTAATATGGGTAATGTCATCCGGAAAGAGTTTAGCCAATCCAAAGTCTCCAATTTTAGGGTGGAAGTTCTTGTCCAGAAGAATATTACTAGCTTTAATGTCTCTATGCACAATACGAGGCACAAGTTCTTCGTGTAGATATGCAAGTCCTCTCGCGGTCCCTTTGCAAATGACAGATCTTGTTTTCCAATCCAATCCTTTGGACTTCTTGGGACCTGTACAGACATAAATTATGCTCTGTCCACAGGGATCTATAAGAGTTTGAGTGGGTTTTTTTTTTGATTTGCCAAATTACCTAATAGAGCATGATCAATGCTGCCATTTTCTAAATATTCATACACCAAAATCCGGTCAGGTCCGTGAACACAGCAACCAAGTAACTTGACAAGATTGGGATGTTTGACATTTGATATGGTATCGATCTCAGTCAAAAACTCGTGCACTCCCTGTTTTGACCCAGCGGAAAGCATCTTCACTGCTACTTCACTTCCATTTTTAAGAATTCCCTATACAATGTGGTGAAGTTAATCAGAAATCAATTTGAATTCTGTGAAACAGAAACGCATTAATTTACCTAGATCTATTCTCCTTTTCACTTAAGCATACTCTTTTCCCTTCCAAGGGATTGATTTATCTTAAAAAGTTTTAATGAAGACATGTATTAGCTAGCTAATTGGCTTGCGGCCAGCATGACACTTGTTTTCTTCTTTATTTTATATAGACTCCGTGGCATAATTTATTAGAAAAAATGTTACAGAAATCTGGCCTACTACAAAACTAAAGTTCAACCTCCATCAACTTAAAATACCCTTCTGAGTGGAAATGTATCAGCTATAGAAAGATGGTCAATTTGTTACCTAACTGATGACTAAAATCAAACGAAATGTGCACATATTTCTCATAAATTCGCCATAGATGTTTAATTTTGGTGATGTCATCAGATGTCCAACTATTTGAAGTCGCAGGCCCCAATAGTTGGATTGGAGAAAAAAATACAATTTCTTGTAACATTTAAGGGGCAAAACGCTCCGACCTTACAAAGAGCTATATGTTAAAAAATGAAGCTTCATTTTTATTTTACTTATTTTGGGATAAGAATTTATAACAAACAAATTACAGATTAAATTGTTAATATTGAGGGGTAAGACTATTTACTTGAGTAATACCTTGTAAACTATGCCAAAACCTCCGCGTCCTATTTTGTTAGTTCGATTGTTGAAGTTGTTTGTAGCTGCTCTTAAATCACCATATGCAAAATTTTTAGTCTTCGTTATTGAGGGACCTGGATAGAGAAAGCATAGATGCATTTTAACTGAAAATTATGAGTACCAAGAGATACATTTGAAACAAATGACCAAGCTGACTGGATGCAAAGCAAAGTATCAAGATCAAGCAGCAAATATAATATCAGAATCGTCATTGTTGTCAATTTTCAGTTCTAACCAGTGACTTCTCAGAGACCTACAGTTCCCAATCAGATGCCCTAGTCCACCAAGGTCTTTCACCAACATTAGCATGGAACATGTTATCAGTTATAACATTAGTTTACTTACATGTGTGACAGAATTTGGTTAGGCGGAGGATACACTTCATTTCATGGCATATATACTCCATTAACTAAACATCATTAACATTTTTCCAACATGATGCGAAGCTCATGTCACATGCATTATTCTCTATATGAATGATATCATATCCTTACAACTTACAAGGGTCTATTCTGTTTAGTTTTTATCAACTTTGCTTTATCAATATAAAGCTAAGAAAGTTCTCGTCCGGACATCAATGATCATTGATACCAAAAAACAATCATGAATGGCATTGCACGCAAAATGCGACTGCTTTACCAGCAACATAGATCAGCACACCAAACTAAAAAGTGGCTCATCACGTACAGTCCACAGTTGTTATAGGGTACAATTTCAAACTGCATTTATATAAAGCCGTCGGGAATTTTCACCTCCCAACTCATCCATGCAACTGTAACCTCTTCATCCGAATTTAAAGTCAATAAGAGCCATGACATCTCATGAGTCATAACTCCTTTCAAACAACATAACCAGAATTGTGTATTCTATACAGCCTACTTACTGATGTCACTAAGTATGAGATATGCATGCATAGGACATCAAGGCATCAACATCAACTGTGCATATATAGACAAAACTTCACATGATCGATTGAACCAGTGAAACATTCAAAACAAAATGAGTTGATTCCTCACCTGCTTCATCTAGTCTCGGTTGATCGGCATGCTTGTCACGTGAGGAGCCAAAGCAGCTACAACTCATATCCTTGGTGCCGTTTGAAGATTCGAATCGCCTAATCCAACTCACGCACTGAAACACCATTGATCATTCATCAGTAAACCCAATTCACTACTGCAAGTGCAGTCCAATTACTCAAATTTTCCCCTCTTACTCGGAGTTTCTCAAACACGAGCACCTATTATGTATTTATTCATTTATTTATTTTTGCAGAAACGCATTAAGATGCAAAAGCCAATAACAACAATTATTCAATTCACTGCCATCGCGCAATTAAAATCCCAATTCCCACAGAAAACAACACGGATTTCAGCATCAACAGAAACAAACTGAGATCCACTCGTAAAGTAAAAAACCTACGATCGGTACTCACAAATTAATCGGCACGGTAAGCGCAGGCGACGCCGGAGAGGAACCGTAAATGCAGAAAGCCGCCGGAGAACAACAGCTGTTGAGGCGTTAGCGGCTGTGTACCTAACTTGTGGAGTCGTCGTAGTTTTGGTAGAGAGAAGGACTCAGAAGTCATAGCTCGCGGTAGAAGATTTTTAGCTTTTGCTTTTTCTCACCTGACCTTCGTATGTCGCCGTGTGAATTTTTTGACAGTCCAGTGCTGTTTTCTCTTTTTTTTTTTTTCCTTTTTTTTTTTATTTGAACAAAATTACCAAACAAAAATTGTGGAATTTATTTTAAGAGATATTTTAAACTTTTTAAATTTAGGACGTGATTGAATATGAACTTGATTGGTTTTTACGAGTTTTTTTGGTTAATCATATTTGTTAGTGGAAATTTGAGTTTATATTATAATAATATTTTTGAAATAAAATAATTAAATTTGATTTTATGTCAAAGTATGAGAGAAATGATGTGAAATAATAGTTGATTAAAATTATGTAGTAGATGAATAGTTAAATAAATTTGATTTGATTTGTGATGATGATTGGTTAGTATTAGCTAATTATATGGATAAAAGTGACTATAATGAAATTGAGTTAAATTTGAATTTTGAATGATTTTTACTGAATTAATTTATATCCAGTCACACCTTTAAAGTTTTTTAAGATTTTGAGATTTAAGAGAACAATAAGTATGATTTGATATTTGGATGAGATTTCGAATAATTTTTTTTAATGAAAATGTCATAATATCTTAATAAGTTATAATAAATCTCAGTATTTATTAATTAAAGTTGAATAGCTCATTATTTGTTAAAAATTTTTGAAAAATCGAGTGAATTACTTAGGTAACGATAAATTCATTTTGACCGATCACTTAACTTTTCTACTCACTTTAACTAAAAAAAAAAAACAAAAAAACAACTCAAATTAATTCAAATCAACACTCCTCAATATTATCAATATATTAAATAATATTAATCATTCATTCTCACATATCACACCAATTTTAATTCACTACTTATCCACTTGCATATTTTAAACTTTCTACCATTTCAATTAATTATCTTACTTGTTTATCTCACATCAACTTAGCCATTATATTTAAATATTATTTAAATACAAATTCAAAATTTCACTTAAGCTTTTACTCAATTAACTTTATTTAAAATGAGAAATTTACTCCTTCTAGTACACCTTTTAACATTATTTGTAAAAATACGAAAGTCA